TTTGGAGCACTGTCTTGTAGTGGATTGCCAACTGGTGGTCATCTTATACCCAACTTAATTGAACTAGTGTGGTACTGAGTGTGGGAAGCCCACCTGAGGATTGTTACCAGCAGCATAACATGCAGAACTGGAGGAGAGGGGATGCTGTTAGAAAAGCTGTTTGAAAAAGCTGTTTGAGCTGTTAAAACCAGCTGGTTCTCTTGGGCTATTCTGGAGGACCCTGTCATGCTGGCTTTCCTAATGAACCTGGTTGTTGGCAGAGGAGAAGCTTGGTATCTCGTTGTTGCTGAGAATGGCTACGGTTCATTTTCAGGGAACTGTGGTCCTCACCTTGAGCATTGTTTCCTGGCTCCAGAGGGAAAGATGGTACAGTTCTCAGCCTCCAGGTGAAGCTTGTGACATTGGCTTCCCTGATGGGATCTCAGTTTTCCTCATTGTAGGAGAAGCTTGGGACCTTATTTTTGCTGAGGATATATCATGTCGCACTTTTGGGAGGAGCTCTGGTTCTTCAGCATTGCTTCCTGCTTCTAGTTCAGATCTCTCAGCTTGCTAGCACAGATCCTTCATCTTATGGGCATAGACTTCCTGGCTTCCACCACTGACCTTTGGACCTTCCCAGTGCAGATCTGTGAAACAGGCTTATGTGAAACATTGTTATGGGATCTAGGCCTCCAGTTGGATTTGTGAGAGGCGTTGTTATGAGCTCTAGGTTTTCAGCTAGACTCATGCAGGTTATTAAGATCCAGGACTTCAGATGGATTCTTTGATCTTTAGTGTGTGGACAAATTTCCTGCACTTTTTGTATATGATTCTTTGGGTGATTATAAAATAATCTTATAAAATGTGTCCTGTATTGTATTGTTCCCCTTGCAAAAACTTCAAACCATGACATGTCTATTCAAGTTCTTTGCCCTTATTTTAATTGGGTCATTTGGTGTTTTGCTTTTTGCTACCGAGTTGTAGGAGTTCTATATTTATATATTAACCTCTTATTAGATAAGTAGATTGCTTATACTTTTTTCCCATTCCATAGTTTGCCTCTTCATTCTGTCATTTGTTTCCTTTATTGTACAGAGCTTTTTTAGTTTGACGTAGTCCCCTGCTTATTTTTTACATGTGTTTTTGACATCATATCAAAGTCATTACCAAGACTAACATCATTAATGCTATTTGGGATCATTAATGGTTCAATGTGAATCTTAAGAGCTTTTTTATTTCTTTTTAAAATGCGATTAAGATTGATAGAACCTGCATGTAATCTATAGATCGTGATGGGAAATATGGATGGCAGTCTTAACAATATTGCGTTCTAATCCATAAATAAAGGACATTTTTACACCTATTTGTGTCTTACATAATTTCTGTCCATAACATTTTTTCAGTGTGTTAATATTTTACCCCCTTGATTAAGTTTACTCCTAAGTATTTTTTTTGATGCTGTTACAAATAGGATTGTTTCCTTAATTTCATCTTGGTATTGTTCATTTTTAGTATACATGAAACACAACTGATTGATCTATGTTAATATATATTCCAGAATGTTATTGAATTTGTTAATTTTCTCTTTTAAAGGCTCTTTAGTATTTTTATATGTATGATCATTTCATCTGAACATACACATTCATTAAAGTGAATTTGGAAGTATTCTTTCTCTTTATTGTTTTGAAGAGTTAAAGAAATATTTGTACTAGTTTGTTACATATCTGATAAAATTCACCAATGTAACCATCTGATCTTGGGCATTTCTTTATTGGGAAGTTTTTCATGACTGATTTAATCTCATTAACTTAAAAATGCTCTATTCCAATTTTTGTTTCATTATGATTCAGTCTTAAATTGGAAGTTTCTAGGAATATATCCTTTTTTATGCTATCCAGTTTGTTGATGTATAGTTTTTCATACTAGTGTCCTATAGAAATAAAAAATCTTTTTATTTCTGCAATATTATTTGCAATATTGCCTCTTTTATCTCTGATTTTTATTTGAATCTTCTCTTCTTAGTATAGCTAAAACTTTGTTTTGTTGATCTCTTCAAAAAATAAGTCTTAGCTTATTTCTCTATTTTATTTATTTCTATTTTATTTTATATTTTTGTTCTGCAAACTTTGGTCTTAGTTGTTTGTCTACTTACTTGATGTACAAAATTAGGTTCTTCATATCTTTTTTTTAAAAAAGTAGGGTTTTTTTCTGTAAAGTAGTAAAATTATCTCTTATTGCAGCTTTTGAATCATTGTAATTTTAGTATATTGTTTTATCATTTTAATTTGTCTCTATATTTCTATTATTACTTTTTATTTCTTTGACACATGGGTTGTTCAAGAGTATGTTTTTGTCTTTATTAGTGTTAGTTCATTTTTAGATATGGTCTCACTGTACTGTGTTGCCCAGACTAGTTTTAAGCTCATGACCTCAACTGATTCTCTTGTCTCAACCTCCCAAATAACTGGGACTACAGATGTTTGTAGCCACATGTGGCTCAGTGTGTTGTTTAATTTCCACATATTTGTAATTTCCCAGGGATTTTTTTTACTGTCAATTTTTAGTTTCATTCCAATGTGGTCATAAAACACAGTTTAATTTCAGTCTTTTATAATTTAATATGGCTCGTTTTGGAACCTAACATATGACCTATCCAGGAAGATCTTTCATGTGTACTTAAGAATATATATTCTGTTGCAGTTTGGTCAAATGTTCCATGTATGCCTATCAGGACCTTTTGATCTATAGGTCACTGAAGTTCTCTCTATTGTGTGTGTATTGTTGTTGTTGAAGATGATGATGATATTAAGAATGAAACCCAGTGCCTTGCACATGCTAGGCACTCTACCACTGAGTTTACACCCCAGCCGATCGTTTTCTTCATCTTTTATCTGTCTATTCATTATTAGAAGTGAGTTTTGAGATCTATTGTGATGCCATGTCTCCTTTCAGTTTGGTTATTGTTTGTTTCTTATATTGATTTCCTCTGGTTTTAAATTCATCCTTCCTCGCAAATTGACATTTTTATCATTTTACAATGTTCTTCTTTGGGTTAGGTACAGTTTTTGATTTATTATCTATTTTTCTGGCATAAGTATGGCCACCCCTATTCTCTTTTTGTTAGCATTGCACTCCATGTCTCTTTTTTTTCACTTTTAGTTTGTTTCCTGAAATCTAAAGTGATTCTCTTCTAATCAACATATAATTAAGTTATGTTTATTTTATCCATTCAGTTTTTCTACCTTTTGGAGAGTTCCGTTTATATTTAAAGTAATCATTGATAAGGAAGGACTTTAAAATTGCAGTTGTTAATTGTTTTCTGTTTACCTTTTATCTTTTTTTGTCAGCCTTTCTCAGTCATCTGCCTTTATGGTTCGTTTGTTTTTGGTTTGGTTTGGTTTGGTTTGATTTTGTAGTGACATGTTTTGATTCTTTTCTCATTTCCTCTGTGTATCTTCTATAGGTATTTTGTTTCTGGTTACCATAGACATAACAGTCTGTTTTAAGCTGATAACAATTTAAGTTCAGTCACATCAAGAGCTCGTTTATTCTCTTAAAATTTTTAATAGCACCCCATTCCTATGTGATAGAATATTTTCTCTCATTTTACTGAGGCTATTACTTTCAGATTTTTTTTCTTTTTTTTTTGGTCTGTTTTCTCCCATTTACTTTGTATTTTGCTTGTTCTGTTCTTTGTTTCTTACACATTAGGAGTTTTCCTCAGATGCCTGTTTATATTTATGAACAAACATCAACTAAAAAGTTGTTTAGAAGCACTAAAAACATGAATGTCCCATGTGAACTTTGAACTCTATTTTAAGGTGATCTGATTCAGGCATATGTTGGAGAAATTCTCCGTAAGAGCCTAACAGTGAAAAACCCTGGAGGGCCCAGAATTTAGTATATATTCCTTTTCTTAGTCTCCTTGCTTTCAGAAATGATATTCACATCCTCAAGATTATATGCCATTCCCCATCTTCGAACTGTGATCCTCTAGCAGCCCTCACCACTAGCATATTGTGGAGATTGTTTAAAGTTCTAATTAGTTTTTAAATAGCCTTCACCCTAACAACCTTATTTTAAGCCCATCTCTTTACATCTGTTTCCAAAGATACCCGAAGCTATCAATTCCAAAATTGTTTAAGGATTCTTGAGTAGACATTGGGTAGATGCTTGATTTTCCCCACTAGTGGTTTAATCTCTAGCTTTCTTAGTGTGCTGAATTGTTTTTACTCATTCGATTGTTTCCCAGTTTCCAGAATATTATTTTCATGTCCTTCTTGCCCTTGTTTTGGGTCTGTATTCGTTTTAGTTGCTATAATTTTAGAGAGTACTATAGGGAGAGTGTATTGTAAAATAAATGGGTCTAATCCTGTCTTTATCTTAAATCACCTTATTCTTTTTTAATTTATTTATTTTATTATAATTTTATTTTATCTTGAGTAAAAACAAAAGCAAGAACAAAGCTCAGAAACAGGGTAACGTGCAACAAAACATATGTTACAGATTTTCAAAACAAGAATAGCTGATTAACAATGGTTGATATATTATCTACTTTTATCATCAAATCTGTTGCTCAGATTAACAGATATAGTTATGAAAGATTAGACATATTCAATATTACCAATTGCTTTCAAGAAATCTTAAAGTTTTGTTCTTGTCTTTTCTTTTATTCTTTTTTTAAAAATTTATTTCAAAGAGAGTAATTGAAATGATATTAGGAATGGTACAAATTTGGAAGACCAAGCTGACAGGTGTTCAAACATTGTTTTTATATTACACATTGCTGTCCTCTATGTAGTTGCTTTGTTCACAGATATAAGCATACAGAGTTAGTCAAGGTGAAAATTGTACACATGAACTGCTCTTTTCAAAAAACTGGTGGAAATTCTTAGTACAATCACCTTGGCCATCCTCTATGTATACAATTGCATGTTTTGAAATCAATTTATTCTAAGCATAAATAAAAGAGTTGTCTTACTTTCCTTATGTTATTTCTGTTAATCCTCAATTTACATTAGGTGTTATACCTGAAGAACCTTAGCCCTCGAGTGACTGAAAGAGATCTTGTGTCATTGTTTGCTCGGTTCCAGGAGAAAAAAGGACCTCCTATTCAGTTCCAAATGATGACTGGACGAATGAGAGGACAGGCTTTTATCACTTTTCCCAGTAAGTAGCTTCATGTAGATAATAGTTTAATTGCAGCCTCTGTTCACTAGAGACTACCTAAACATCTCTGATTCAGATGCAACCTTTTAACATGAAAAAGTGGATGATATAAGGAAAATGTGTTTTCAGTGTTCCTCTGTTCTTCTTCCTCTTCCCTGTTGACAGTATATAATAAAATTACCCCAGTGTCCTCAGTTTGCCCAGTCTTGGCATTTTATATTTACCCCACCAAAATTTATTTTCCTTTTGCTAACAAAAGTATTTCTAGTGCAAGTTTTAATTACATTATTCACTAACTAAAATATTGATATTCTGATCAGAATACATGTTCTTGCTTATGCTCTACTCCTTTGTGACTGCAAGTTAATACACTAATTCATTAGTAATATATAACTAATGGATGAGGATACATTCTTCTAAATGTCACTTGGATGTTAATACATGGCTTAAGGTATTCTAACTGAAGTGTAGAAATCTTGATTTCTATGATAAACCAGCTAATGTATCCTTTAAGCAAGAGCTTAGGTAAGATTAGTAACTTTAATTGTCCTTAAACTGTCATCATTTACAGTTTGCTCACTTATGTAAGCAAGTGGTTTTACATGAGTACTGTACCCCCTACCATTATTTTCCTACAGCCTTGTGTCATCCTTTATATCCCATCGAAGACTTATAAATCCTGTATGCTAGTGGTTTTCAGTGTTTTCAAGTATGTGCACTCCTTTTGAAATTTAGAAAGATCTCCATATGATGTGGTCCACAAATTGAAAAGTACATTATAAATAAAGGTTTTATAAACTATGTATTTTTAATGTATAACTGTTTTGTTAATCATAATAGCTATATTGCACATTTTAAAAAATCGCACATATTTCTTTTTTTAAATATATTTTAGTACAGGGTCTACAGGTCCCATTACACAGATTGACTAGTACTGATCCTCCTGTTTTCAGCCTCTCTAGCACTGGGATTACAGGCGCACTGGGATTACAGTCCCAGTCTCATTCAGTGTCTCAGCGCACCCGGGGGCAGGGCTGGCATGACATGCAAGGGATCAAACCCCAGTCCTTTAGTACACTGAGCTATCTGGCCGGCCCATTGTACATATTTCTGAGACAAAAATTTGTTCAGTCTAATGACATCGATTCCACAGACTTATGGTCATAATTTACCCCTTCCTAATTTCTTTCATTCAGGCCCTGAGCTCTATAAATTGAATATTCCTGGTGATAGTATATATTCTTGTGCCTAAAACTCCTGTAATGTACAATGATTCTTAAAGTTATTTATACCTGTAAGGATTCCCACAATTATTCTCCCACTTAAAGAAAATAGAAGGAAAGTGTCTCCAATAATGTGATGAGGGGCTGGTGAGATGGCTCAGTGGTCTAAAGCACCTACTTAGAACAAGCTTAGCAAAGCACAGGGACCGCGGTTCAATCCCCCAGCAGCACATGCCAGCTAGCCCCGCCCCCTGGTGGGCTGAGCTGGCCACACACACACACACACACACACACACAAATAAATAAATAAATAATAATGTGATGAGTTCTTTGGTTTATGCTGACATTTTGAAAAAGATTTCCTTCTTCTTATAATCTGTGTCTAACAGGCTTGTGTATAATTAGGTATAACTTGGATTTCTTTAGCACACAGCCTTATTTCTTTACCTATATCTTAGAATCAGAAGATATCCTCAAACACCTATTTTGAGTTTTCATTGTCATTTTTGCTAGCCATTAATTTATCCTTCCTGAGTTCCACAACTTAGAGATATAGAAAAGATGGTAAGATCAAATAACAGTATTAATTTGTTGTTTGTGTTTAACTCTGAGGCAGTGTAACCTAAATGAGACTTGGAATTAAATTGAATTATTGAACTCTATGTAAATTGATCTTTTTTTTTTTTTTTTTAGATAAGGAGATAGCATGGGAAGCCTTACATCTAGTAAATGGATATAAACTGCATGGGAAAATATTGGTAATAGAGTTTGGGAAAAACAAAAGTCAACAGTCAGACCTCCAGGATCCTTCTCTCATATCATCTATGACAGACAGCAGTGTCGAGATCAGTGATAGCTAGAATGAATATACATTGTCCTGAATGATCAGTCTTGCATTAGAATCTTGGAGCTAAGATTTGTTTAAAGAACATAAATTAACTGAGACCGGAAAAAAATGTAATTAGGGCAATGCCTTTCAGGTATTATAGATAACTAGAACATATTTTCTACAACCAAAAAATATACAGGACAAAAAAAAATATCCTGAGTATTAAGGGTAGTATACAAAGAGTATTATTTTTCTCAAGGTAAATTACATAGTATTATTCCTGAGAATTTTGTTAAATTTTTATTTCTGGTGTCTTCAAAATTTACCCCTAGAGGGTTGGTGAAATGGCTCAGTAGAATAAACGCTTCCCTGGCAAGCACAAGGGCCTGAGTTCAATCCCTGGTTCCGCCAAAAAAAAAAAAAAAAAAAGAAAAAGAAAAATTTACCCCTAGAAATGACACTTTTCTCAGGCCCATCTCCTGTATACAAAACTCTAAAGCTAGCTAAATATTGAAATATTTATTTACTTGAGTTTACTTGTCCTTAATTTTACACACGCAATAAATAAAAGAGCAGGCCCCTAGCCTCAACAAATGCTGTTAAGTCAAAACTAGTAGCATGAGGTAGTTTTGATTTGATGAACACTTCCACACTAATTTATCAGTATTCAAAAATCTATGTATTTTATCCTGAAATCTTTTAGATCAAAGTATTAATGTTTGCATGGCCATTTAATAAGGTAGATGCCATTGAAGAATCATTGAATTCAAAGCAATAAACATTGGGTTTATAATATGTTAAATATTAAATATATGGATTTTAGATAAAGATCATACTAACAGGAATACCAAAGGGATGTGGAAAGAAAGACTTTTCTAGAAAAGAGATAGCCTGCCTCAAATGCCCTAGTTGTTTGCTTCTGGGAGCTAAAAAGTATAGAAGAACAATATGGTATACAGGAAATGCTACAAACTGTATAATCAAACCTTTGAACCTCCTAGCCACTGACTGTTCTGAACTTGAGTCATTTAATCTGGTCCTCAGTTTTCTTACCTATAAAATGAGGATGATACTTCTTTCTTACTTCATTAGTTTGGGAGAATTAAATAAAATATGTTCTAGGTTGAACAAAAAAAAGAAATGAATAAAATTAGAGATTAGTAATTTATAAGATACCATTAAGCACTCTTATGTACATGTAATGAGTGTGCCAAAAATAGAGAAAAGAAAAGAGCAGAAAAACATGCCAAGAAATGTCTAGTGTACATGTATAATCCCAGCACTTGAGAGCCTGAAGCAGAAGGAATGCTGCAAGTTGAAAGCCAGCCTGTACTACGTAGTGAGTTCAAGGCTTATGTGAACTAAATAGCAAAACCTTATCTCAACCCAGGAAAGAAGGAAGGGAGGCAAGGAGGGAGGAAGGAAAGAAAGGCACAATGAATGCTTAAAATTTGATAAGCAATATTCTACACTCTGAAGAAGTTCAGCAAATCTCAAATAGGAAAAGAAAAAAACGTACAAACAGACATATCTTAATAAAAATACTGGAACCCAAAGGCAGCAAATCTTTGCAGCAATACAGAAAAACAAATTCACTTATTAGGGAACTCCAAAAAGATTAACAATTCACTCTTCATCAGAAACTGTGGCAGTGACTGTGATATAACATTTAAAATGCTCAAAATAAATGTCAAACAAGAATTCTCTATACATTAAAGCTATTTTTCAAAAATTAGGTGAAATAAAACATTCCCACATAAGAAGATGACAGAGGGGGCCTGGCCCTAGCTCAGTTCTTTAAGTGGCTGCTTCCACCAAGCTGTCAGCCTCAGGTGGCTCTAGTTCGATCCCCACAACTCTCCAGCCAGCCAAACAAGCCCTGAGGGCATTCGGAGCAAAAAAAAAAAAAAAAAGCTGAGAGAACTTACTATTAGCAGACCTCACAGAAAATACAAAAGGAAGTTCTTCAAGAGGAAAGCAAGTGACCTCAGACAGTAATTTGAAACTATACACCAAAAAAGAGCAAAGAGATAATTATAAAATAATAAGACTAAATTCATTTTTCCTTTATTCTAACTAATTTAAAAAACAATTGTATAAATCTATATGCATGTAGTTGCATTGCTTTGCCTTTAACATATAATAGTGTCATGTATTTGCCAATAATAGAAGAAGGTAGGTAAAAATAATACTGTGTTTTACTAAAGCAATGACTCTCAAATCCATAGGAACACGCAAAGAAGACAAGACAGGCCAAATAAGAAGATTAGTAATTTTTTAAAAACTGGAAATATATGTAATTGTTTTTTTCTCACAGCTTCTTTAACAGGCATAGAATTATGTTAATTATAATGGAATATTGTTGGGTTTGTAACATGTAGAAATAATATATGTAACTATCATACCACAAAATGTGGAGGGGGCCTGCCCCGTAGCTCAGTTCTTTAAGTGGCTGCTTCAACAAAGCAGTCAGGCTCAGGTTGCTGTGGTTTGATCCCCACAACTCAAGCCAGCCAAACCTGCCATTAGGGCATTCGGCGCAAAAAAAAAACCACAAAATGTGGAGAAAGGAATGTGTTACATAGAAGTAAGATTTCTGCATATCTCTAGTATTTAGTGTGTACATTTTTCCAGTCAAGTTGAGCTAAGATGTATATGGTAAGCCTTAGAACAAATATCTTCAAAATGAAGATACTATTTAAAAATTTAAATTTTACATTAGGCAGTACTTAATGCAAAATATTTCAGATAGAAAACAAAAAGTATAATGATAATTAAATCCACCCATATCAATAATAAAAATAAATGTGAATCGATTAAACTAATCAAGAGGCAAAGATTGTTAGACTAAAAAAAAATTCAACACTTTTTTTTGTCAGAAGCACACTTGAGACTAGAAAGTACAAAAACGTTGAAGATAAAAGAATACAGAACAAGGTTCCATGCAAACAATAACTATAAGTAAAGTGAATTAATGTCAACAAAATAGACTTTAAAACAAAATATTACCAGAGGTAAAGAATCATTTTATAATGATAAAGGGGTCAATCAGGGAAATGTAACAGTTGTAATCAAAACAGCCCCAGAATACATGAAGGAAAAACAAAGTAAATGAATATAGAAATAAACAAGTCTATAAAACCAATTGAAACATTCAGTACGCCATTTTGAATGCTAGAAGAATTAGACAGATGATAAACAAGGAAATAAAAGACTTGAGCGCCCTCTAAGCCACATAGATGGAAAAGACATCTATTGAACGTTCCACCCAACAACATTAAAATACATATTCAAGTGCACATGGAACATCTGCAGAATAGATCATAAACTATAAAACAAGCTTTTATAAGTAGACTGAAATCATGTATGTTTTTGTACCACAAGGAATAAAGTTAAAATCAGTAACAGAAAATTGGGAAACTTGCAAATATGTAGAAATTAGGCACACTCTAAAATGACCAGTAAGTCTGGGAAATTAGTCTTTTGAGATGAGATGAATGAAAATGAAGACAGCATACCAAACTGATTTGATGCAGCTAATGTAAACCCTGCTTACTATGAAAAGTCCAGGCTCAAATGGCTTCTTAAATGAATCAAACATTTAAAAAAATATGATTTCTTCGAAAAGTTGAAGAGCAGGGATCAGTTAAGGCACATACTCTCATGTGGAAAAACCATAAGACTGTGCCCAGAGAAAGAATGATCCGGTATACATGAAGCATCCAAAATTAGCAAATATATAGGGACAGAGGATTAGTGATTGCTTTAGTAGAGTGGGAGGCAAAGTAATGGAAAGGGCTAAGGGTAAGAGCTAAAGTATAGGGGCTTTCTTAGAAGTTGGTGAAAATGCTCTAAAATTTACTGTGCTGATTGTACAACATTATGGATATACTGAAAACCCATCAATTATAATTTAAGTGAGTTGAATGGCATATGGATTACACTTCAATATTACAGTCACAAAAATAGTTGAGTATTATCCAAATGTCCAGTCATCAATAACTTCTGGCACATGCACTTAGTGACATATAGCCATTAAAATAGTGGACTATATCTATAAATTTATTTATATTTTCTGGCCTGTACTCATATCAAGGATTTTGTATTACATTAAAAAATTAGGACTATATAGTATTATATATGTGCGTGATTGTGTGTATATATGTATATGGAATACTTATATATAGTTATATCAGAATAAACTTAGGATAAAGTTGACAAGTATACCAAATTGTAAACTTTTGAAGGTAATAATTGGATTGGCTGAAAAGAACTTTCACTTTGTAAAAGTAAGATGGTGTGATTCAATGATTTTTACTTTTTTCAAGTATTTTTTAAATTTTAAAAAAATGTAAATATTTTTGCAGTGACTTGGCTTTCAGAACATTTTTCAGATGCAGTTTGAGAATACCTTCTGACTATACTCAGGACTAACTCCTACTTCTTTGACATACTACTCAGTTAGCATTAACTATCCAGCTTTAATATAGTTTAAGGAGTAAGAAGTAAATAATTCTGGTATGGGTTTTTGCACATGTTACCCAAGAACATATATCTCAGCTGGACTTTCCAGAAGAGACTGTTCCCTGTTAGGTGGGAAAACTCACCTCTGCCTTTTACTCAACCTACAGGCCACTAAAAATAAAGGGCAATACTATGTATGAAAAATACCTTTCCAACTGGTGCATAGATACAGAAACTGTGCTACATCCAGAAAATAAAATTCTATTCAGCAATAAAAATGAACAAACCATACGTGCATCAACTTCAGTGACTCTTAAATGCATTTTGCTAAATAGAAGAACTTAAAAGGATTCTTACTGCTTGACTATTTGTATATTTGCGAGAAAATCAAAACAAGGATGGAGAAAAAACATCAGCAGATAATGGGTATGCCATCAGCTGGCATACTTCTTGACTACAAGGTGGTAGCACAAAGGATTTGTTTTAGTAATATAAATGTTCTATATGGTGGTTGTCATTACCTAAGTGTATGCATTTGTTTAAACTCCAAATTATACACCAAAAGGATTAACTTCACTGTGTAAAATTTTAAATAAAAGCATTTTTAATGAAAGAAAGAAAAATTTGGACAGTCATTTACATTAACTAGTATATGTATTCTAATGTATTATGTGGTCTTTGATTACTGTTGAAAAGTTAAATGCATTTTGCTACTATTCCTTACTTTCTGCCCAAAGGTGAGTAGAAATTATTAGTTTAAAACTTATGCAATATACACATACAAACTCACCATAAAAAAACTGGAAATACATTTCTTATCACAAGGAGCTAATTTCCTTAATATACAATACATACAATGTTTTTAGTGCAACTGTTGCCTTTTATCTGCAG